TACCCATAGATATCACTGGGAACTTGTGGGAGATGCAGTGCTGAAGTTTGTACAGACATGTTGGGACCAGCCAGCCAGGGTGAAGGAAGTGAATGACACGATTGTGGTCCTCATCCCGAAGGTGGCGAAACCAGCTACGATCGACCAGTTCCAGCCGATCAGTCTCTGTAATGTCTCGTACAAGATGATAACTAAGTGCCTGGCAGAAAGAATAAAGCCTCTCATGCCTCGCCTGGTGCATGAGACTCAAACGAGTTTTGTCCCGGATCGACACATTACTGACAATATCTGTATTTTGCAGGAAGTTGTTCATTCGATGCGGGCCAAGAAGGGTAGAACAGGCTGGATGGTCCTTAAAATTGATCTTGCCAAGGCCTATGACAGGATCAAATGGAGTTTTGTTAGTGACACTCTGCAGGCAGTGGGAGCTCCTAGACAGTTTATTGATCTAACGTTGAGCTGCATTTCTTCTTCCTCCATGCAGATCCAGTGGAACGGGGGACTTACAGAGCCTTTTGAACCTTCCCGAGGCCTTCGACAGGGCTGCCCGCTGTCCCCATATATCTTTACTCTTTGTATGGAACGGCTAGGACATATTATTTCGAAGGCGGTGGAACAAGGCGAATGGAAACCAGTGCGCCTCTCCAGCCAGGGACCTGCACTGTCCCATCTTTTCTTCGCCGACGATCTAATCTTATTCAGTGAAGCATCCACGAGCCAGGCTCAGGTTATTCTGAGGTGCCTTGAAGAATTTGGGGCGGCGTCGGGTCAACAGATCAGCAGGCCAAAGTCTCGGGTGTTTTTCTCAAAGAATGTGACTGCAGCAGAGGGAGTAAGGTTGAGTACCACGTTAGATATCCCGGAGACCAAGAACCTTGACCGTTATCTGGGGGTACCAGTGATCCACGACAGGGTGTCAAAGGCAACATACACAGAGTTGATCGATCGGATTGACTCGAGACTAGCAGGTTGGAAAATCAAGTCATTATCCTTGGCGGGCAGAATAACTCTTGCACAGTCCGTTTTATCCTCTCTCCCGGCGTATACGATGCAGACCTCCTTCCTGCCGGCATCGGTGAGGGAGTACATTGATAAAAAGATCCGAGGGTTTATTTGGGGAAGCTCGGAACAGGGAAGGAAGATTCACCTTGTGGACTGGGACACAGTTTGTAAGCCCAAAGAGGAAGGCGGGCTGGGAATGCGTAGTGCGACGAGAATGAACCAGGCGTTCATGATGAAGATTGCTTGGAGGTTATTGACGGAGCCAGATCAGCTATGGGCTCGAGTGGTGCGGGGTAAGTATTTGAGGTGTACGGATGGCGTTTGGAAACCGCGGAGGACAGGGCGTATGTCAAATTTATGGCGAGGAGTGTTGCACGTCCTCCATTACATTCCGAAAGGGTTGATGTGGAACATCCAAAGTGGCTCCCAAGCCAGGTTCTGGACAGATACGTGGCTCCAAGATGGGCCACCTCTTATTGATTTCGTGAACGAGCTCCCAGATGAAGCACGCGAACTTACGGTAGCAGATCTGGTCCTAAATGGGGAGTGGAACCTCCCCTATATCCGAGTGTTCTTACCTAAAGCAGTGGTGTCGCAGTTGCTGCTCCACCCGGTGCCGAAAGGAAGTGCTCCAGATACGCCGGTGTGGAGGCTTTCCCCGACTGGCCTGTTCACTATCAAGTCGGCGGTGGAGCTTCTTGGAGAGTTGGAGGAACCGGGCCATCCGCACCCGGTTTGGAGGAGGTGCTGGCGAATCGAGGGCCCCCAGCGCACCCGATCTTTCTTCTGGCTGGTGTTACACCAGCGGCTGCTTACTAACGCAGAACGTTGCAGACGACATTTAACGCAAGATGCGGTGTGTCCGGTATGTGGTGGAGGGCCAGAGACGACGTTGCACTGTACTACCTCGCCGGCCGGAGTGAAATCATTGATGCTAATCTGTTCGCCATCTTTTCTTGGAAGCTCTGGAAGAACAGGAACAAGTTGGTGTTTGAGAAGACGCTAGCATCGCCTATAATTTTGGCTCGACAAGCAGAGAGGATGGCACGGCAAAGTAGCCTAGCTATGGGGAAAGCTCAGAAGGTGGTAGAGCAGCAGCAGCGGAAGTCCACGAGCCTCATTAATTGGCAGAAGCCACCACCAGGGTGGGTGGCGTTGAACACGGATGGTTCCGTGGTATTAGCCTCGGGCAGCGCCTCGGCAGGGGGAGTGATCAGGGACAGCAGCGGTCAGTTCATGAAGGGGTTCTCGGTCAACCTAGGGGGTGGATCTATTACACATGCTGAGTTATCTGGCATCGTGAATGGGCTTCACATTGCTTGGGAGTTGGGAGTGAGGAATGTCTGGGTGCAAACGGACTCGAAGACGGCTGAGTTGATTATACAGAACGAACGCGCAAACCACCCGCACAGCACATTGGCTGCAGCGATCCGGCGTCTGCTTGATCGAGATTGGGACGTCAAGATTAGTCATGTGTTCCGTGAGAGCAACTATGTAGCTGATTTCATGGCCTCTGTTGGCCATTCTTTGCCTGTTGGATGTCATATTGTGGATGACCCAGGACCTAGCCTGAGATACTGGCTCTTGTTCGATGTGTTAGGGGTTCAAACACCCCGTTTTATTAATGATTAAGGGTTAGGGCGCCCCTATGCGCTCTATTTTTCACCAAAAAAAAATTCATACGTTCTACATATTCACTCAAAAGAGGTTCTAGAGATTTTTAGATACACGCTATGTATATTCTATGTTATTAACTTATTATACATAGAATTAATACAGTAAAGCTAACTAAACATGCATCTTTCCGTTACAACATAAAAATAGAGCAAATAAACTAAGTCAACAAAAATATAACCATTGTTAATTCAAATTCAAACATCCAATTCTACAACACCTATTAGTTCATTAGACAATCACTATTGTTAGCATCCAATCATTTTTTTATATACATATACTCTTTTTGGGACGGGTATGAATATGAGACGGGAGAGTCTAAAACCGTATCCACCTTCCATTGAAAGACAGAGGACCATCTTCTCCCAATTCACTGTAATGGGAGATAGCTGTCTCGAGTGACATAAAGGCCGGTGACAAGGATCGCCCTGTGTGGCACATTTGAGTCAATTATTTTGTGAATTTTACCCATAGATATCACTAACCAATCGATGCATGGATTCACAGCATTAACTAGGTCGAGAGCGATCGACTACCTACCGTTTTTGGGTTTAATTGCCATCCTACACATAAGGGGTAATTATCATAAATGGTCACAAACTTATTCACTTTGTACAAAACGGTCACAATTCTTTAATTTTGTACGTTTCGGTAATATATGTTTGAGCAAATAACAAAAAGGTCAATCCGTCCAATTCCGTCAAAAAATCTGTTACTTTTGTCCAGTCAACATGACACGTCATCAAATATGTTAATAAAAAAATAATTTAATCATTCGAATTAACCACACAACCCTAACCGGTTCAATAGCACGGTTATGTACCCACCCGGCCGATTCCTTCAATTTGGCTATTAGCAGCCGTAGTAGAAGCGACAGACAGGTCGCAGTCGCAGGAGTCATCGTTCGGGAAGAGAGCAAACTCGACGACGGTGGACTTCTCGGGTTCGCTGTAGAAGAGAGAGGAGAGGCGCACCACTCCGCCATGGAAAGAGGAGAGCCCAGTGGACGTCCACGGATCTGCACGCTTCCGCCACCGGAAATCCCCTCCTCCCTCCGGCAGAGCTGGTAGACGAGGAGCATGCTGTATAAGCCGTTTGATCATATGGATTTCCTGAAGCTAATGGAGAGAGATGTCGGGAAGGCATATTTTGGGGATGAACTCAATGCTCCCTTCTCAAGGCTTATTATGGTATTTTCCTTTTGATCCATTATATCCATCACGTTTGTGGGGAATTAGTGCTTAATTACTTGGCCTTAACAGTGCATCGGTACCTACCATTCAAGGTCTTTCCTTGGCGGAGCGGCGCCTCTCCCTCCATTTTCTCCAGCGAACCCTAAAATCCCACCGCCGCCGAGTTCGCTCTTCTGAGGCTGCGGCCGTGGCCCGTCTGCGCTTCTGCTACTATTGCTAATAGCCAAATCGGATGAATCGGGCGGGTGGATACGTAAGTGAGCTATAGAACCGGTTAGAGTTGGAAGGGTTAATTCGAATGATTAAATTATTTTTTTTTTAATTTATTTGATGATGTGTAATGCTGAGTAAGCAAAAGTAACGGATTTTTAGACAGAATTGGACGGATTGACCTTTTTGTTATTTGCTCAAACTTATATTACTGAAACGTGCAAAATTAAAGAATTGTGACCGTTTTGTACAAAGTGAATAGGTTTGTGACCATTTATGATAATTACCCTACACATAAGTGGATGAAGTTGTACTATTTCATTGAGTTGGACATCTATATAAAGCTGGCTGGCTATAAAAAGCCCACAAGCCCACACTTGAGAAGTTTACGATCCATGGCAGCGAGGGAAACCAATCCGAAAAACTGTGTAGGCTTTTAGAGCTGCGCTCAACTTAATTCAAATAAGCATATCCACAATGTAGTTTAGGCCCATAGGATGAAGGAGTAGCAGATTTAACCGAAAATAGGCCCAAGTTGTTAAACATGCAAGTGTAACTAATCTGGAACAAATTGTTCATAATATATAATAAATTAAGGGACCAAACTGTAAATTTTAGAAGTATAAGCATCAGTTGGACCGGGAGTAATTATTATACTGAATCGTCGAAACTCCTACACGGAAAGGGAGGGAAAAAGAAAAGAATACCCTCAAAGAGTAGGCCTTGAATTCCTACTCCTAGTCCTTGCGGAACTCGGATTCCTGAACTGGATCGGAAGAGGAAAGCCTTGAATCTCTGCTCTTCTGCGATCCTCAAATTCTATAAATTTACCCCCAAGCTCTGCCAATAGCTCCCACACATTCGATTTCACCTTCAACTTTCATGGGCGTTGATTCACAACCACCGTCCAAGAAGCTGAAGATGTCTCCGGAGAACACTGCCCTCCCGGCGCCAATGTCGACGGACGAAATCAACAAGAAGAAGAAGGCGGCCAACAGGCTGGTCGTCGACGAGCCACCCACCGCAGGCGCACACGACAACACCAGCGTCTTCCTCCACCCATCCACCATGGAGCAACTCGACATCTTCCACGGCGACACAATTCTGATCAAGGGCAAGCGCCGCCGCGACACCGTCTGCGTCGCCCTCTCCGACCCCAGCTGCGACGAGCACAAGATCCTCATGAGCGGCGTCGTCCGCCTCAACCTCCGCGTCAAGCTCAGCGACATGGTCACCGTCCACAGCTGCCCCGCCATGCCGTACGGCCGCCGGATCCACGTCCTCCCCTTCGACGACTCCGTCGAAGGGATCACCGGTGACCTGTTCGGCGCTTACCTGAAGCCTTACTTCCAGGACAGCTTCCGCCCCGTGAGGAAGGGGGACGTCTTCCCCGTCGTCGGCGGGATGAGGAGCGTGGACTTCAAAGTCATGGAGACCGACCCGCCGGAGTTCTGCATCGTCTCGCCGGAAACAGAGATTTACTGCGACGGCGAGCCGGTGAAGAGGGAGGACGAGGAGAAGTCCGACATCGGGTATGAAGACATCGGCGGTGTCAGGAAGCAGCTCGCCCTGATCAGGGAAGCGGTGGAGCTTCCGATGAGACACCCGGAGCTTTTCAAGGCAATTGGAGTCAAACCGCCGAGGGGAATTCTGCTGTACGGCCCGCCGGGGACAGGGAAAACCCTAATCGCCAGAGCAATCGCGAGCGAAACAGGGGCGGCGTTCTTCTGCGTGAACGGGCCGGAGATTATGTCGAAAATGTCGGGGGAGAGCGAGAAGAATCTGAGGGATCTGTTCGAACAGGCGGAGGCGAAAGCCCCGTCGATCATCTTCATGGACGAGATCGACTCCATCGCCCCTAATCGCGAGAAGACGAATGGAGAAGTCGAGCGGCGGGTCGTCGCCCAGTTGCTAACCCTAATGGACGGGTTGAAATCCCGGGCCAATGTTGTAGTACTCGGGGCAACGAACCGACCCAACAGCATCGACCCGGCCCTCCGCCGCTTCGGCAGGTTCGACCGCGAGATCGACATCGGCGTCCCGGACGAAACCGGCCGGCTAGAGATCCTCCGCATCCACACCAAAAACATGAAACTCTCGGACGACGTCGACCTCGAGAAGGTCGCCAGAGAAACCCAGGGCCACGTGGGCGCGGATCTGGCCGCGCTCTGCACGGAGGCGGCGCTGCAGTGCGTTAGAGAAAAGATGGACATAATCGACATCGAAGACGAATCAATCGACGCGGAGATTCTCAATTCGATGTTTGTGACGAACCACCACTTGGCAATCAGCTTGACGACGAGCAATCCATCGGCGCTGAGGGAGACGAAGGTGGAGGTCCCGAACGTGACGTGGGATGACGTGGGCGGGCTGGAGCGGGTCAAAACGGAGCTCCAGGAAACGGTCCAGTACCCGGTGGAGCACCCGGAGATGTTCGAGAAGTACGGCCTGTCGCCGTCGCGCGGCGTGCTGCTCTACGGCCCGCCGGGATGCGGGAAAACACTCCTGGCGAAGGCGATTGCGAACGAGTGCCAGGCGAATTTCATCTCGGTGAAAGGACCGGAGCTGCTGACGATGTGGTTCGGCGAGAGCGAGGCGAATGTTAGGGATCTGTTCGATAAAGCCCGGCAGAGCGCGCCGTGCGTGCTGTTCTTCGACGAATTGGATTCCATCGCGGTTCAGCGAGGCGGGAGCCAGGGTGACGCCGGCGGGGCAGGGGACAGGGTTTTGAACCAGCTGCTGACGGAGATGGACGGGATGTCGGCGAAGAAGACTGTGTTTGTGATCGGGGCGACGAACCGACCCGACATCATCGACCCGGCGCTGCTCCGACCGGGGAGGCTGGACCAGCTGATCTTCATTCCCATCCCCGACGAGAAATCGCGGCTGCAGATTTTCAAATCGTGCCTGAGGAAGTCGCCGGTGTCGCGGTGGGTGGATCTGGAGGCGCTGGCGAGGATGACGGCGGGGTTCAGCGGGGCGGACATCACGGAGATTTGCCAGAGGGCGTGCAAGTATGCGATCAGGGAGGAGATTGAGAAGGACATTGCGAGGAACGGGATGGAGGTGGAGGAAGAAGAAGGAGTGGCGGAGGCGGAGATTAAGGTGGAGCATTTTGAGGAGTCGATGAAGCACGCGAGGAAGAGCATCAGTGTGAAGGATATGTTGAAATATCTGAGCTTTGCGAATTCTCTGCAGCAGTCCAGAGGGTTTGGGTCGTCGGAGTTCAAGTTTAACAAGTGAGAGGCGGGAAATTAGTTCAAGTTTTTGTTTCTATTTACTTTCTATGTTGTTGTTTCGGATCATCTTACTGGTATACTTCTGGTTTATTACTTTGATTAATGCAGTAAATTCTTTAAGCAGAGATCGGATTGAGTATGGGGTTGTTGGCTTGCTTCTGATTGTTAAAGTTTCAACGTCAATGATAAATTTGTTAGCAATCTACCCTAAATAATGCAAATAACCATTACCTCATCGAGGCATCGACTCTAAATAATATCAATTTATAAATAAAAAAATGTAATTATATCGAAAAGACCAGCGATGATAACGAGTTCGAATGTGATGGTTTTCATGTATCAATTATCGAACTACGACTTTTAAATACTAACCAACTTACTGATGATCGATCGATACACATGAGATGAGGTAGAGTAGTTTGCGATGATGAGGATGGGATCAAAGAAGTAGAGTACTTAGCGACTAACATTGTTCAGAGGTGCTACTCAATTGACAAATTGCAGCATTCCTCGCCTCAAACTACTTTACTGACGATCGATACACACGGACTAGGACTATATCTACAAAGAGGAAAAAGGGACAGCTTTCAAAATTCTAGAGAAATTTTTGACTAAACCTCTCAGTCCTTGCTGGGATCCGATCGCAGAGAGCAATGGAATGGAAGCATTCAAGTCTTTAGTCTGTCTTTGTTGCGAACCTCATTCATCAATGGTACACTGTCCTAGACTCTCAGTTTTCAAGCACTCCAGGTTCCAGGCCTGGGAGATTTGATGCGGTGCTTCGTCAAGGAATCACAGAAGAAAGAGAAGGCCTGGCTTAGCTCTTCTGGAAGAGGAACCGAGAGGGGTAGGGTGAGGTGACGAGGCGGGCGATGGCTTGTGCTGCTTACATTATTAAATGGATGAGCAAGTGCTGTTTGCTTCCTGTTCATCCCTTCGACAATGAACGAGAAGGCCCCGAAAGTGACACAACTCTGCAACATAGCCTGAGGTGCACCTGCATGCACACATAGCTTTTGAGGATTCAAAGGCTGTGTGCCAATCAAAAGTTCAAAACCACTTAACCTTTGTACTCAAGTACCTGGGAAACTTAAAGCGAGACCAGTGCAACATCCAGCAACACCAGCATTGATGACTGCAAAGACAACAGACATAGTCAAATTGCATGTTTCATTTTTGTGTTCTGTACACACTTCACAAATGCATGAAGGAAACAATCCTAAAGATTCAGTTCTCATCTCATACCATCATCCTTCCCACGAAGTCTCTTCAGAAAGCATATGACCAGGCTGTGCACTCCAGACAAAACAGCAAACGTCTGGTGCATACATGTTATGAAATTGAAAAACAAAATAGTCTTCAGTAAGTAGGCGACCCATGATTCCTCAGATTGCATAAATTCAGCTTGAAGAAACATTTGCATTTGTATGAAACTAAATTAGGTTTGCCACATAGTCAAGCAGTAGCCACTGGCCATGTAAAAGAAGAGGATTTGCCCTCTTGACAATTCAAAATCCGAGCACATAACTTGCTAAGGAATGAGCAACACATTCAACCCATCAGGATGATCATCCACCAGTCCTACCTTTGCATGAGAACCAGCCTCTCCAAGAGCTCCTTGAAAACCCTTTTTCCTGACTAGTCCAGAACCTGCAATATGCCCCAATTATATAGCAGTGAGCACCAAATTGGCAGACACATAGCAGTAGCATAAAAGAGTTAATAATCTAGCTGAAGCTATCATTTCCAAACAACTACCATCACCGGAGATCTCCAGGTTTGCAAGTTATCACACCACCCAACAAAGTCAAATGTTATCCACTGTTATTAGCTAAACAAATCAAGCAACTCTTCTTTCTCGGATTACCAGAGATGAAAAGGAATGAAGACTGGGCGGGCCACTATATGCATATCCCAAGCGATGACCTACTTCTTCTGAGCCCATCATTCCCATAATCGAAAACAATGCAGGTGAAGCTCTAACACAGAGCATAAACCCTAGTCAAGCAATGTTGGAAAAGCATTACAAACCCTCGCCTCCCAAAACAAGAGCCTGCTAGAAATGCAAAAATGAAACTACAATCTTAGCCCAAGGGACAACATTAAAGAACCCTAAAATGCCAATTATGACACCACCACAGAATCCAAAAGTCCGCGTAAATCCCCAATGATAAGCTTTACTGCTCCAACCAGCACTACCATTTGGGCAAAGAGAAAACAGCAGCTATATAGAAAAGAAGAGAAATTTGGAGGCGAAGAGATTTACCAAAACCGAAGATGGAGCCCATCAACGCGCCGCCGGCGGACTCGCTAGCGAAGCCGATGAGGCAGACGGCAGGACTGGCGGGGATGACGGCGGAGGAGGGAGGTTGAACGGGCGCCAAGGCGCCAGAAGAGGAATTAGGAGTAGGGTTTTCATTGGAATCAGGGAGATCAACGTCGGAGCTGGAGGGGTTTGGAGAATCCGCCGTCGCCATGTCTATCTCTTTCAGGGTGAAGAGCCGCGAGTAGGAGGCAAAATAAAATGGCTGTGGGTAGCTTTAAGTCTTTAGCTCGCAAGTTTAATTAACTGAAAGAGCCCTTTTTGGGGGAGACAACCAAGCTACGCCATTTTACAAATATCTATGGTAGACTTGACATTGGAAGTTTTTCGTTAACTCATACAAAAATATAAAATGGTCAAATTTGATCCTTAGACTTTTATAATTGTTCCTTGGCTATGTAACATTGATATTTTTTTAACCAAGATAACCCCAAAGGGTATGGTCGGACACATAACGATAGAGTCGACATTAATCGAGGTAAAATACCTCGGTACTACTTAAGTTTGAGAATTGGGACGAACATACTACTTAATTTTGAATAGGGTGTTGGATGTAATACATGTTCCTATTGTGTAAGCTTGACCTTTCATAAGCTGAGCTAGAAAAAAACGTCCATAAAAAAGACTCTTACTCTCGCTTCTTCATTCAACGCACTTCCATTGTAGGGTCCTATTAGATATTGTTACTTTTTCTCGAAACAAAAAAAAATATATCAGATCATTGAATTTTTCTCTCTTGAAATCTCTTAACTGTTTATTCTTATACGCATCTTCTTCTCCTCGAACCATTAAAGTTGCCAAAAGGTGCATCCGTCTAGTTTTCCATCCAATCAAAAAATTTAATTACCTTTTGGTACCCAAAACTTTTTAAAACTTCAAAAACTATATTTCAATAAGTATTCTCTAATATAAAATTAGGAAACCTTCTAAACATTCTACTTAACTTTGAATAGGGCGTTGGATGTGATACATGTTCCTTCAATTTCTCCAAGCAAAGCTCTTCGCATCGCAATGCCTATTGTGTCAGCTTGACCTTTCATAAGCGGAGCCAGAAAAAAACGTCCATAAAAAAGACGCTTACTGTCGGTTCTTGATTCAACGCACTTCCATTGGAGGGTCCTATTAGATATTGTTACTTTTTCTCGGGAAAAAAAATTATCAGATCATTGAATTTTTTTCTCTTGAAATCTCTTCAATGTTTATTCTTATACGCGTCTTCTTCTCGAACCATTAAAGTTGTCAAAAAGTGCATCCGTCTGGTTTTCCATCCAATCCAAAAATTTAATTACCTTTTGGTACCGAAAACTTTTTAAAACTTCAAAAACTATATTTCAATAAGTATTCTCTAATATAAAATTAGAAAACCTTCTAAACATAGTATTACTAGAATGACTAATGAAAGCTTTTCAATAAATTTGTAATACTAATAAACGAATATAAAAAAGAAATAATAAATATACTAGAACATAATAGTAAATATATAAAATTATTATTAGAAGATCTATTTAAACTCCTAATACAATTAGAAACATCACTAAAAATAGTTAAAATAGATTCTAATCGACCATCACTACATCAAGGCCAAAGAAGATCTATCTAAACTATAAAAGCTACATTCAATAATCAATCTAGAAAAAAAAATATGACTATAGAAAGATAATTAAAATTAGTGAATTTAACTAATATAAAATATCTACATAATATTAGATAATTACAAGGAGATTTAATATAGAAAATTAGACAAGATCAGCCTGATGTAAGAGAACTAAATATAACATTCTCAGATTATTTATATCGAGACAAAATTCATAGGATATATTTTCTTAAGAGAATAATTCAGTTATTAGAACACATAATGATAATTAAAAATACTTATAATGATAATTGATTCTAAATTTCTTACTAAAAAATTGATTTGGTATAAAACAAAGTCTTCAAATTATTATTCCAACTAAACAATAAAATAATGATGTTCTTCCTAAGTCCAAAAGATTTTTTACAATAACAAAAAGTAGAAGGACCAATTCTGAAATTTAGAAAATGAAATATGTCAAGAATATTCTGTCAACTTTAACGGAATGCACTTGATAGTAAACTTAAGTGGTATCGAGTGTACATATAATAGAGTTCGGACGTTCAGTGGCACGCGATACCCTATTCTTACTTAAGTGATATAGCTCCCTCAGTTCTCATACTTTATTGGCACCCAAGATATTTTACCCACATTAACAGCATGCGATTAGGGCTGGAAGTTTGGTACCGGTATTTGGGATATACCGAATACCGTACCGAATTTGTCTATATTTGGTATTACCGAATATACGTATTATTTTTTGGGATTGGGATTCAATTTCAATTGTTATTAGGTATTAGGGATTACAGGATTGGGATCGGTATATACCGAAATACCGATCAATACCGAAATATAAGCTAGTTGTATTTTATCCTATCAACTAGACTCTCTCATTCACTACTACACGACCCTCAACCACCAAGAGTGTCATATAATTATACATAGATCATTTCATCACTATTAATAGTCGTCTCTCAACCTCCAATTCGTCAAATTAACGATTACCAATGACAAGAACTTGAGATGTCTCCTCTCCTCCATTCTCCTTAATAAAATCCTAATTCAAGACTCTTTACTTGGTCTTTTCCCGCTAAATTAAACAATAAATCTAATTTATATATTTACTTATTAATTGCAAAGATAATTAATTTTGTATTAAATAATACCGATTGGGATACCGAAGTACCGATTGGGATACATAAATATTTAGGGATTGGAATTGGGATACCGAAATTATTTAGGGATTGAGATTGGGATTGAATTTAGGGGGTAATTCGGTATTCGAGATTTTGGTATTTGGTATTGGGATACCGATACCATACCGATTTCCACCCCTACATGCGATAGTCCATTGTTGATAGTCAATAACCACATACACTAATTCATGGGGTCAATAGCATAAAAGGTCACTTACGTTTGCCGTAACTAACAAATTGGTCACCTACGTTTCAATTTTAACAAATCGGTCACTTACGTTTTCACTAACTAACGAACTAACATTTCCGTCCACTTCTGTTAATTTTCCATCCAAAATTGCCATGTCACCTTGCCACATCATCACAATATATACTAATATAATTAACATGTTTAAAGCCATACATAAATCGAACCCAATCGCATGAAACCAACCAACAAACCGAACAAAAGTAGATCTGATTTCTCATCCAAATATTCATGTTTTTCTGAATAATATACAGCAGGGAACACATGGTAAGCAGGGAACACATGGTAATCATCAACCCAAGCTGTATTTAGCAAATGGATCCCCGAAACATCATCAAACAAGGATCCATTAAGCTAAGTAAGCTGGTTGGACAAAAGAGGGGAGGAATCTACGTCTCAACCCTTAACAAAATATTCATACCATGTTTAAATACTAGATTATTAAAGTGATGAGGCTGCCATGAAAGTCACTCCTAATGTCTCTATCCCTGTGCTAGTTGGAGTATCGACCCTTGAAGAAATTGATGAGGCTGCCATAGAAGTGAGTCCTGATGTTTCTGTCCTCGTGTTGGTAGTCTTCTTTCTCTAAAGTAGATTAAAATGTGTAAACTAACATGTTCCAACAAAGAAAGATAATCCACAACTTCACAAATAAAGAATACAAACAATTTGCAGTAGAGAGTAAACTAATATTCTGGTTGGACAAAGAAAGTGAGCAAAGAAGTGTACCTTCCTATTTCCAGTTGGTTCGACTAAAGTATCATTGGCGGTGGTTGAATCTGATATGGTTGTGTGGAACCTCTTGTTGTGCCCATTTTTCCCACACACAGAACAATGTTGTTTTCCACCTTCTTTGCTCAGTGCCACTATAGGTATACCTTGCTTATCTTTCCTTTGAACCTCCAGCTCCCACGCTTCTTTCCTCCTCTTAGTTTGTCTTCGACCCCTTTTGCGTCGATCAAACTTAGGTGCTTGTAGAGGAGGCATGGTGCTCTTTGGCCACTGGTTAGCATCATTGTGGGCATGTATTGGATAGGCATAAGACATCATATATGTGTCCACATGATAGCAAGAATCCACATAATTTTCTGGTTTGTCCTTGTTATGCAAGATGCAACTTATTGCATGTGAGCACGGTATACCCGAAAGCTGCCACCTCCCACAAGCACACGTTCTCTGTAGTAAATCAACAACAAACTCGCCCCTTGGAGACCTCACTTGAAACTCCATGTACCCATTGTATGTGGGTGTGCACAAAACAGCCCATTCCTTGTACTGATTCAGCTTCTTTTGAGGCTTAGGGCAGAGTAATTGTCCCTTAAATTTAGTCATCTCAAGGTTCTTCTTGTGCACTCTACGCATCAACATGTGTCTGATTGCTTCAAGACAAGAGAGTATTGGCAAATCTCTAGGCCCCAACACGTACTTATTCCAACACTCTCACAAATTGTTGAGTGAAATTTCACATTTTGTATGCGTCTTGAAGAAGGCTTTGCACCACTGTTCTGCTGGTCTGTGCATCAACCATTGATGCGGGTTTTCTTGCTCTGCAGGATAATTATGAGATATCTTCTCCATAAGATCCATCCAATTTTTATAATCAGCCTTATAAGTCGCTCGTGCAGCTCCCCATAACAAGTCTTTCAACTGTTTAGAACGACTGAATTTCCCACTGAAATTTACATACATGTGTCGAACACAATAGCGATGCTCTGCATTGGGGAACATGCTATGCATGACATTCATTAACCCCTACAAAAAAGAATGAAAGCCAGGTTAGCTTATGCAGAATAACTACTAACCCTTATTATAAACACAACAGCTAAAAGTGGTATAATTACCTTTTGTCTATCTGATATAAAAGTCCATTTGGAAGAGTTGTCAATCTCTAAGTCTTGAGCTACCAATGCCATGAACCACTCCCATGTATCCTGACACTCTTTTTCTACTATAGCATATGCTATGGGATAGATACAATCATTAGCATCTATTCCAACTGCTGAAAGTAATTGCCAACCAGGTATGCCTTTCAAAAAACAACCATCGACCCCAACAACTCACCGACAACCAGCTTTAAACCCACGCTTTAAGGCATCAAGACACACATAAATCCTTTCAAACACCAAACCTTGGTGCTGAATCACAACAGTAGTCCCAGGATTTTTGTCCTCCAACACTAGCTTATAATCATAAAGGCGACCATACTGCTTCTCATCCTCTCCGTGAATCAACTCCAATGCCCTCACCTTAGTTCGCCAAGCCTTCATTTGATTGATGGAGATACCCATGTCAGTCTCTATAGTGTGGATGAGGTTTCCCATTGACCAAGTTGGGTCAATCCTGAACCTATCAAGATACTTTTTTGCGATGAATAAGTCATTGGCAGCCCTTAAATCTTGCACCACCCCACATGTATGAGTAAGATTTCCTGACCTAAGCTGTACTGTATCCTCATTTGGTAGGACAACACCCCTCAGTTTGAATCCACAACTTTGCTTGCACACAGCATGTACCCTCTTCTTATCATTAACAAGGAAAATTATAGGTCTCCTCTCCTTGATGGCGTGTGCTTTGCATGCTTCTTTGAACTCCCACACTGACCTAAACAACAATCCGATCTTCATTTCAGGGCTCTCCATATCTGTGTTTGCATTAAACTCGGGAAAATTAACACCTCCGTCTTGATCATCAAATTCACCACTGTCAGTTCTGCGATTAAGTAACTCTTCTTCGCTCTCTAATTCTTCAGGTGGCAACTCGTCATCATTCTGAACGTAGCTACTCCCTCTCACAACTTGAGCTCTTGTCCTTTCACGATTATCTTGAGCAACAATATGAAACCTCCTCTCACTTTCATTTTCACGTAACTGTCCTATAACATCATCATCATCAAATATATCCACCTCCGTATCCATCAAATCCACATTCTCATATGATTCTATATCTTCATCAAAAGCATCACAATATTCACCAAACTCAGAAGCAGACATAGTTGTCCCATTAGCATGTGTAACTCCCTCCTCTGGTTCTTGTCTCACCATTCTGTAAACACCACAATACAAGTCAACATGTTGGGAATGAGAGGGACGAACCAGAAAAACCCTAAAAACGGAAAGGAGATCCACCTACTTCAAAATGAAAATTGAGATCTTAGCTATAAAAAGAACAAAAAACCCTAAAAGATAAATTACCTTCCGAGCCGATGCACCAGTCGCAGACCCCAATTCTGTATTGTTGGTAAGTGTAGATTGTGCTCCCTCTCTATATTTGCTCTAATATTTTGCCTTCTCCATTCGCAAAGCAGAAAAGGGAGATTTAGAGTGAGGAAGAGAGACAACGAGTGGGTGAAGGGGCAAAATATTGTAGATTGTGCTCCCCCTCTGGCCTCTGTATTTGTTAGGTGGGCTACTGGGCTTTGTCTTTCTTCATAGCAGAAAGGGAGAGAGAGAGAGAGTGTGGGTGGCGGCAAAGAAATCAAACCCAAGTTTTTTTTTTTTAAATCAAACACAAGTTTGTTAGTTTTATGGGGTTGGGAAGTTAGATTGTTTCGGTTTGGTTTTGAATGATTTTGAATGAGTTTATTATTTTAATATATATTTTGGTGACATGGCAAGGTGACATGGCAATTTTGGATGGAAAATTGACAGAAGTGGACGGAATTACTAGTTTGTTAGTTAGTGAAAACGTAAGTGACTGATTTGTTAAAATTGAAACGTAGGTGACCGATTTGTTAGTTACTTCAAACGTAAGTGACCTTTTATGCTATTGACCCCTAATTCATGTGCAACAGAGGTATTGATGAAAGAGCATGTTGTTTTATCACAAAGACAGCTCTCGAAAAAAACTACTAAGAGCAAAATGATTAGATTACTATTGATAGCAACCTTCAATATGCCTATTATCAAATCGAGATGGAGGGTCTATCGATGCTAAATACTATAGTAAAGGGTAAATTGCAAGGCCGGTCACTGGAAGTACTAAAAAATTTACGCTTGGTCACTAAAAGTATTTTATTTTATTAATGGTCACTACAAGTAGCTATTTTGTTCAAGTTTGGTCACTCTCCGTTAGTTTGTTTTAAGTTTCGCTGATGTGGCAGTCAATTATGATAATTGACCGTTAAACTAGTGACGTGACGATTACAAATTAAAAACTTTACAATTTCCAACTCATTTTTATAAGGGTTAATATTTTTGTATGGCCTGAACTTTGACAAAAATAAATATCTTGGCCAATCTTTTCGATCTATAACATCCTGGCCCAAACTATACACCAAAATAAACAATTTGGCCAGATCCGACTTTTGACCGTTAACTTGGACGGTCAAACGCGTTGACCGTTAGTCAACGCGCCATGTCACTGCCAAGTCAGCATAAAATATTTAAAATCATTCACAATTTCAACACATTCCCTAATTTTAAATTATTATAAATTAAAAAAATCATCTAATACCTTAGTTAAACCAAAAAAAAAATTGAAAAAAAAATTAAATATTTATCAGATCTTCTGACTTGGTAGTGACGTGACGCGTTGACCGTTAGTCAACGCATTTGACCGTCCAAGTTAACGGTCAAACATCGGGTTTTGCCAAATTGTTTATTTTGGTGTATAGTTCGGGCCAAGATGTTATAGATCAAAAAGATTGGTCAGGATGTTTATTTTGGTCAAAGTTCAGGCCATACAAAAATATTAACCCTTTTTATAACTATTAAGAAATAAATAAATAACTTAATCCACCATCTCCGCCGTCTTCTTCTACCTCTTCCTGGCTACCAGAAGTAATCTCGCTTTGCACAAAGTCACTGAAAGAGTTGGGTTTCTTTCTTGTCCCGGGGGCACTCGGAGCGCTGCTCTGAGGACGAAATCTATAGTTCACCATCTCTAGTTTAGATCTGCTCGGTCTCTACTTCTTGGACTTCGCTTCCCTAGCCAGTGTTTCAATTTGATGCTCTGTCTAGGGATGGCAATGGGTCGGGTTGGGGCGGGTTTTGTCAAACCCAAACCCATGGGTTTATCCGCCAAAAAAACCCGGGGTAAAACTCGTTGGGTTTGAAAAACTCAAACCCAACCCGCTGCCCGCTGGGTATCCGCGGGTTCATGGGTACCCGTGGGTTTTTGTGGTAAAAAATTTACAATAACAAGTTTCTTTCAAAATAAAAGTATAACATCAATTTTCTCATACAAATTAATCATACAATAAAACACCAATCTACTAATCTAGAGCATACAAGCAAACCGCAAATGATCAATACAAATTGTTCAAAATTAAAGATAAACATCTATAAACAAAAGATTAATTGAAAGCTTCTTCCTTGTCAACTAAGTTTCTTCACTCTCCACTTCATAATATCAACTTCATTCTAAACAATTAGAAAGAACAAATTATACATATCTCCACAAACATAAAGAATATTAATTGTTTAAGGAAGATATATTATTTAGAATATTAAATATATCGGGAAAGTAATTATATGTGTGTGGGCGGGTACCCATGGGTCGGGTTTACCTAAACCCAAACCCAACCCGACCCGGTGAATAGTGTAGCGGGTTTAAACCCGAACCCAGCCCAAAACCCGTCAACACGGGTTTTACCCGCGTTGACCGGATTGGATCGGGTGGATACCCGTGGGTTCGAGTTTTGTTGCCATCCCTAGCTCTGTCTCATCTTCTAGGTTGTTGGTTGACAGATCGAGTAGGCGGCAGAACTCAATGCTTCTTCAACCAGGCGGATGAGGTCTTGTTTAGCTTTCCAAGCTCTAATGTAGTCTCTCCAAATTTGCTCGTACACGATAAAATCATGGGAATTTTCTTCAGTTGCTGGGTTTGAATAAGGGGTTGAGAGGTTTTGGCTTAAGGAAATTGGAAGGGTGGTTTCGGGCAGGTCAGGGTGGGAAAGGTTAGCTGGTACAAATGAGGTAGGCAGGGAGAAATGTGGACTAGGGCATTAGCTAAAGTGGGGGAGCTAGGGATTTGGTGTGGAGGTTTGGGAGCAAGGGAGGGAAGAACAATTGGATTCAGAGCAGGGGGTTGAGCAAGCTAATGGATGAGTACCTCGACCACCTCCACCCTCTCCTTTGGCCTCGCCTTCTTCCTCTTTCACGACAATAAGATCCTCGGCAGTCCCGGCAGGTACTGTCATGACCTTACTCTCGATCTTGCGGCCCTAGCTCTCAAATCCGTTAGAGCGCTAGGCAGCCTTTCTCTCAACTCACTTGAAAGCAAAGAACAAGAACAAAGACAAAGGAAGTGGGAGAACTCTCTAGTGTGTATTACTCTAAAAAATGATGGAATGAGTTACAAGTGAGGGAGATGGCTCCTTATATAGGCCTCTCCTCATACAAGGCATCAATGCCCCTCATAATGTCTCTCTACTACATCAATACACCCCATAAAGTCCCCCCATAATGCACTCTATTAATACTACCATAATGTAGCCCATAAGTGCACCATTAAGCTCTCATTTAGGTGGAGAATCCTAGGAGCATCTCTATGCTACTAGTCTTCCATACATGCCACATGTGCAGCCGCCTTGTTGTCACCTTGTTGGCGCCATGTCATCGGCCACATGTGACAGTACCTAGCGGCGGATCCAGGACATAAGAGAGCACTGGGCCGCATTTGAATAGAATATTAGATACCATAAACAAAAATATATAATAATATAGTTTTCATTACAATGCCAATTATATAAGAAGGTTTTTTAATTTAGCAAATTCATCAATAATATAATCTCCATCCATACTGATAATATACTCTTTTTTCAAAGAAAATAGCTAAGTAATCAACGAGAAATTCATCGCTCATTTTGTTGCACAAATCAATGTTCATGTTCCATTGCTGAAAATATTCTCTCCATGGTAGTTGTTGAAACGACTAGGTCAACACTAGACAAATCAACCAACAAATCAATTTGTATCGTGTGTCCATCTCTGTTTCCTCCAGCTTCTCTAATAATTTTGCAAGAGAAGAAACTTCATCTTCCTCACATGAGTAGTGCATTCTCCAAAGAATGCATCTCATAGCCTTCAAAGTCTCGAGGCTAAACTCTTGAGCAAGTTTGTAAATATTTTCTTCTTCAAAACACCAGAAAGAACGGTTAGAATCTAGTGCCCCACTCAATTGAGACGATCTAAATGATAACTCAACAAGTTTGTAAATTTTTTCTCAATCAAAAGAATGGAAAGAAAACCAGCTCGGCGGGCTGGCGGAGAAATCCATTTTGGATCTGCTCGTCTCCTCGTTCTTGTTTTGTTTTGGGGGGATTGAGAAAATTTTTGAATTTTGCAAGGAAGGGTGTGCTTTAGTTTAGAATTTTTTATTTTTATTTTAATGAAACTTTACACTTTTAGGTTTTCATGTCTTTTTTCAAATAAAATCATTGGGGCTATAGAAAATTTAGTATAAATTTAGAGTAATGGTTTGGATATGTTCATCTGAACCATTTTTCTAGTTACACAACATCCTATTATCTAATAAAACTATACAGGATTTTAAATAGCATTGGGTCAAATATCTAAATCGCAAAATTTTATAAGTACTAAACTAATTCTGGATCCGAAGGAGGGCTGGGCCGGGGCCTGGGTTGGCCCATCCCTGGATCCGCCACTGCAGGTACCACGATCTGGTCAACGCCTCCCCGTCGAGTTCGACACCCAAATTTACCCCCACTTCGGTAAACTCAATCTCCACTGGTTTCTCGTGGCACGGGGGCGGCAGAAGTGAGGAAGAGGAGGTGGTGGAGAAAGAAATTTATTTATTTTTTATAGTTATACAAATGAAGTGGAAATTGTAAAGTTTTATATATTTTATTTTTAATTGCCACATCACTCATTTAATGGTCAACTATTAGAGTTGACTGCCACATCAGCGAAATTTAAGGGAGACTAACGGAGAGTGACCAAATTTGAACATAAGAACTACTTTTAGTGACCATGAATAGAATAAAATACTTTTAGTGACCTAACGTAAATTTTTTAGTACTTTCATTGACTAACCTTGCAATTTACCCCTATAGTAATCCTCAAAGAAACAATAGAGAGAGCTTCTATTCGAAATTTCGAATTCAACACACTTGTACAAACAATTCAAAGTTCAAACACAACACAAATAGCTTTCAAGCACTGACCCAAGTAGGGTCTAATCAATCAAATTTCGTTGCTAATTGACTTGAAACAATGTCTATATGAGATGTACTTCTTGAAGGGAAGTAAAGTAACTAGCTCCACCTTCAGTAGTAATCAATCAATCAACCAATTATCAGTCCGATCAGTAATGATGATCTTGATAGATGGCTCCAAATTCGGCTCTCCATGCCTGATCATCATCTGGGATGCTACTCTCCGGCAACTCCGAATCTTCTTGGTCGTCGTACATAGGCCGCCGAGCACTCTCCGGCAGCCTGCTGTCTGCTAGATACTGCTTCATCGTCACCATCTCCATCTTGTGTTTCCTCTTCAGCTTCTCCATCTGCTTCTTCAGCTTCTCATTCTCTTGCCCAACACTCCCACATTTGTCCTGCTCACCATGACATAAAACCATTAACGTTTAGCCAATTTGTACAACAAAGGTAGTTTAGTTTAGTTTGTTAACCAACCTCAGCAAGCGAGGCTGCTTCCTCAGCTTCCCTCAGCCTGACAAGAATCTCCCCAGCAGTATGAACAGCTTCAGCAGTATCCCTCAGCTGGAGCTTCAGGCTCTTGTTCTCCTTCCTCAACAACTCCCTCTCCCTTTCCCTTTCCACCCTCAAAGCCGAAAGCTCTGCCGCCAGCGACTTGGCGAACCGGTGGCCGCCTTTCTTCCCTGCCTTGGCTGCCGCCCTCTTCACGTCGGCTATTCCTTCCATGATAGCTCGGTGCTTGGCCACCAAGTCGTTGTGCTTCTCCTGCAGATCAGCGTAGTGCTCCACCATTCTTGCATGTCCAACCACGGCTCTGTGGAGAGCATCGTCTAGTTCCTCCGTCACCGCCTTCTCCAGCCTCAGCTCCATTTCCACTTTCTCTGCGTGCCGACGGCTGGACTCGATGTCGATCCTCAGCTCATCGGTTAGAGAGATCCAATCGCTCTCCATTTCTGTCCACCTCTGTCTTTCCTTCTCCAGTTCTTCAACGTCGTTGAAAAAGGAGCTGTTGTTGCTGCGCATGTCTATGCTCTTCCGGAATTGCATGGATCGTGCCAGCAGAGATGATCTGAGCAAGTCAGTGGACTTCATTGAAAGTGGTGCATCGGTATACATCTTCAACTTGGCCTTGAGACTCTCGATTTCGGTTAGAAGTTCTTCTTTCTCCCTCGTGTCAGAACTTGAGTCGGCATTATCTGAAACCACTTCTTTCACTTCACATTCTTCATTTACCATCATCATCAACGCGTCTTTAGAACTTGCTCTCAAAAGCTGCACAACGGAGTAGCAAAATAAGAACTTGGAAAATATGCTAAAATCCCCATATTTTACTGCCGTAATCCAACACCAAAATGGCTAACCTTGGATGGTGCTTCCAGTGCTAGGATGTAGCCGTTTTCGAAGGGCTGTTGCTCTGCTACGTGTTTGTATTCTTCAACCTGCACAAAAACATTCGAGACTGTCACAACCAACAGTGGAGAACTCATTTTACAGAAGAAACTGGGCAAAGCAGAAGTTTACAGAAGAATCATCACCATCTTATTTAGCTCCTCAAGTTTTGCTGCCTGCTCTTTGCAAAGAATTTCAAGTTCCTTCTCTCTTGTGCTAACTTCCACCAAGTCATCACCACTTGGACGCTGATTTTGATGATACGTATACAAAATATAAGAAACCCAGTTGACAAAATCATCATAGAAAAATAAAATAACTTAGTAGACACTTGTGTGGCAACTGAAGAATCAGGAAACATATACCTTGCTCAGTTCATCAGTGATGGCTACTTCACTTCCTGCCACAGCCTGAGTAGTCTTGGAGGTTTCATCGATGACTTTTTCACGACACGATGAGCAAAGTAAAGAGGCTTCTTCTTCAGTAGATGGGAGGGAACATTCTACAGACTTTTGAACCGAAGCAGTTGGTTTCAATGCAAAGTGTTCAAAAGAAAAGGATGCTGATGATCTGGTGGATAGTGGCGAGGCTCGTTGGTGATGGTCTATTATTTGCAAGCCCCTCTGAAGGCTAGCAGCCAGGGAATCAGTGGGACCTCCCAATAGCTTGCTTGAACGAAGTGACGATCTAATCTGCTCACTTCTCCTAAACGACTGACTTGCTTTTCCAACTGAGTGGAAGTTTGAGCTGTCTGAAACATTGTTCCGACTCGAGGCAAATGCTGATGGTGAGATGGACGTACTCTTCCTGGTATTTCCAATTTTGGGGGATTCAGACAGAAGTGGCTCTGGGAGAACTTGAGACTGGCGGCATAAGCTGATAGAAATGCTACTCCTGAGCGCAGCAGGATCTACTATAAGGCTGCTTGGAAGTTCATCTAAGCTTTGGTTGCTCTTCCCCGAATCAATTTCTTCATTTTCAGCTCTAGCTGGACCATTGACCTCCTCACCGTCTTCAGTCATGGCATCAGTTTCAAAACTTTGCTCTACTGATGTGAAATGCACTGAATCCCTGTTGTCTGATACATCTGTTAAGTTCTCCTCGCCTGAAATCCGGAGCTTCTTGAGATGGTTATGCAGTTCCATTACGTCATCCACACTGGCAATGTTAATCTCATCATCGTCTATATCAATCTTGGGCAACATTAAAGAGCGGTTCAGGCTAACTCTTAAGCTGTTCAAGCTGTCACGCACACTCCGCCCCCTGAAGTAACCACTTGTACTTCCAGCTGATTTACATGTGTCATATTTTGCCCTGATGAGCTCCTCCTGTTAACAAATTAAAAATAAAAAACATTCATCCACGATGTTGATTTCTGTGAGTCTGATGTGGTTGATAGTTCATCGCCACAAGCAAAGTTGTTAGCTTGGTTGCAGTAGATGCATAAGTGAACGAAATATTTGTGCAATACCTTGAGTTGGCGTATCCGATCACTCAAATCATTTACATCATCCTCAGATATTTCATTTATTACAGGTCTATTTTGGATCGACCTGATTTGCTGTCCAAATCGAAGTGTCCTTAAGGTCTCATTGTCATTCCTGCAGTCAAATCAACATCCCAATCCTTGTTTCAGACGATGGCACCAGAGGGTAGCAAGTGACAATGTATCAACAGACAAGGGAAAATACCTTTTATCAGGAGAGATGTTGCAGATAACTGTCAGCTTGGCATTTCCTCCTAGTGACTCTCGAAGCAAATGTGTTAAGCAGGACTCTTCATAAGGAACACCTCTGGACTTTCCAGGTTGAGCTTCTTTTGCAAGACTGCTCACGATTTGTCTGCATCAATGAAAACAAGAAACTGTTATTACTTTGTTCTCCAGGAACCAGAACTCCCTTCAGGCTATATATTGAGGTAAATGGCAATAGATTAGTACCCAAGCTGAGAGAGCGACTTCTTCACATGTTTGCTTTCCCTGACTAGCTGCCTCCCAGCCTCATCAGGTTTATTCCTGTCTAGTCCAGCAAGATCTACGAAACTAATTCTGCTCATCTTTGAACTGCCAAAACATGTTGACGACGTCCCCTGTGAAAAATGGACCATGTTTTTTATAAACTTGAACTGATATAGGTGACTGAAGCGATGGGTAAAATCAACAGTCAACACAAAAGCGAACTCTCAGGAATTGGTAGAACGGCAATTGTAATGTCTAAATTACCTTGCACCAGGACTCAATGATGAAAGTGAACACGATATGAGACCTAGAGCTCTTAGAGTTTATGCTTGTTGCTCCAACTTTTCTACTCGAAAGCCCCTGTTAGAAATTTTCAACCGAACAGTCAGATGGCAGAATTGTGCATGGCAAAATATACAGCCAACAGAAACTGTAGATAAACAAGACTTCATTATAACTACAAGGACTTAATCTTCACCTTGATTAACATTTGAGCTAAATCCTCATAGCTAGTCACGTACTCCTCAGTCAAATTCTCCACGAACAATCCATTTTTGGGATCATCCATTATCTGAAATATAATTGGAGATCTTTACCATTAGAAACGAACAACAAAAATCTTTACTTGGAATGGGAACGAGAGGATAACACGGAGAGGTAACATATCTCCACCTCAAGGTTCCTCTGAACTGGATCAAGCAAGTCCCCAATTTGATCATTGTATATCTACAGTTTCAAAATCAAGAACATTAGAACACATTCCCAAATGACATCTGCCACTAATGCCAGTAGCAAGTTACAAGTATGCAGACTTAACATTTACCTCAAGGAAAGAGCACCTGCACTGGTAATTAATCTGCTTTCCTTCAGAGCTATCTTGCTCCTACAACCCCAAACAAAAACAAAATGAATCCCCTAAATCACCAATCTATACTGCAACCTTTGGCATTACCACTCTAGAAAGCAACAGCAAAGACTTACTTTCTGAATCTCATCAAACAACATTTGGAAAATCCGAGGAACAATCCCCTCGTGACTGCTGGGTGAAGGATCCGCAACCATGGCGCTTGGAGGACCCCACATTGTGTAGGTTTTCCCACTTCCAGTCTGTTGAATCGTAAATGGAAAAGAAGTAAAGAACCCACCAGTATAGCAAATAAAAATAGGTATACTAACATTGAAGTTCAACAGCAGGAAATCTTTAATCTTTCATGGAGTACCTGTCCATAAGACAAGATAGAAGCATTGTACCCAGCCAATGCACTCTGGACCAACGGAATTCCAACTTCCCGGAACACATCTTCCTGAAATGCAAACAAAACAGCTTTAGAACCAGTGCTCAGTTTCCAATTTTGTGATACGAATTCACAAAGCAACAACAGTCCTATAAGCCGAGAAAGCACAAACCTGGGTTGAATTGGAGTCCAAAACAGAATCAAACGTGAAGTTTCTATCACCAATCGACAGTGAATCTGAAGAATCCTTCCTCACTGTTCGATTGCGCTCAATTCTTGGGTCATTCGAAGCCCTAATTCTCACTACAACCTTCACGGATGGATCTGAAGCTTCCGATACTTCGTTCTTCTCCACTGTTTCCGCAACCTCGACCTTCTGAAAAGGGTCAATTGTGTCAGCGAGTAGTAGATCCGTTGTACTAACAGAGCAAGAAACACTGACAGCACGACCAAATTAAGCAACTAAAACCCACGTCAACCACAAATATAACCTCAAACCTAAATACCTGGACGGTGGGGAGGCCCGGCGAGGAGGGAATCGCGGGCTGAATATCGGATTCGAGCGATTTGGTGGATTTCAAGGGTTTTGGAAGTGAAGGGGAGAGCGGGGGGTCGCTGATTTGAATGTTGGGGTGCAAAGGAGGATTGTTCTCGCTGCGGAAGAGCTTGGACCTGTGCTTCTTCTTGGAAGAGATGGATCTAGGAAGCAAATTCCTGAAAGAGGAGGCCGATAAGTTTCCCAGGAACCGACTGTCGCTGCCGCCGGTCTCCATGGTGGATCTCGTGGTCGGCTGTGTTTGGTTGGTCGCCGGTGATTTTTCCCGAGATAGGAAGGAAAACAGTGAGAAGCAGGATGAGAGGAAGGAAGAATAAGGCGAGAATGCCTTGTCGGTTTCGATATTTGAATCGGAGCGGCGGAGAGGGAGAAAGAGAGAGAGAGAGAGGAGAAGGAGACGAGTGTGAGTGAGTTGAGGACGGTGACCGTTGCGAAACTGAAACTTTATAATTTGAATTTGAATGTAGATCGAAATGACGAAAATGTCTGTGCGCATGAATTTATAGATGATAGAGTTAATAGCATTTTGTACCCTCTAATTTTGGTAAATTAACAACTATATCCCTTATTAAATTTTTACACAAACATATCATTTTAATATTAAATCGTAACAAGAATACACTTTCATTTAATTATCAGTTAAGTGATCATTAAATGGACTGAAAAATAACCTAATTACTCTTCATTTAGTTCTAATTTCAGTTTTAATTATTTTATATTATTTATGTCCAATGCTTCAATTAATAATAATAAAAAAACCCTAAACGAGAGACCGCCCGTCTAACTCCAGTCGCTCCCGGCGAGGAGATGCGGAAGCAGGCGACCTATTGGTTTGTCTTCGTCGGTCTATCCTGCTGTTGTTTCTCGTCTAGATCTATGGTTTCCCTTGTTCTTCATTACCGTTTACTAGCCGTGAGAGCCCGCGCTGCACAGCTAGGGATGACAAAAATATCCGTAACCGTGGATATCCGCCCGAATCCGACCTAATCGGGTAGGGTAAAACCCGAACCCGAAGGACTTTTAGTGGGTACGGGTAAAACCCGAACCCGAATATTGCGGGTAATGGGTGGGCATGGTTTTCTCACTATCCAACCCGAACCCGCCCGATTATCCACATGCATATGTATTATGTCTAGAAATAATCAATATTTTTCTCTAACATACTTTATATTTAGCATATAAATATCATTTTGTTTATGAAATTATGTTGTTTTAATTAATTTTCTTCATTCTAGTGAATTATTGTCGTACTTTTCGTCTTACGTAACGTGAGAATACGTGTAAATATTAACATATTAGTTGGAGTTATAAAGAAAAACTATTATCCATGGATAACTGTGGATACCCAAAACCCGAACGGGTATGGGCATGGTTTGGATTTTCTACCCGTTTCTTATGTGGGTATGGGCATGGGTAAAACCCGAACTACTTTGGGTAGGGTAACGGATATGCACTATCCGTCCCCGACCCGATCCATTGCCATCCCTATGCACAGCGGGTATAACATAATGTCTGTTATATTGTAATTCGATTTCTTAGTGTAACAAATTTTTCCGGAGAAGTAGAGATTATATGAATACTTTACAAACATGGGTAAAAAATGATGTAAGCAGAAGGCCTTAACAGTACTGATGAGATAAGTTGAGTGTTGTTTGCCAGATAGACAATTAGTTTGTCGGTTCTAACCAATACAGCAAAAAAGTTCAGCATATGCTATATAGTATTGGTGCTTTAATGTACAACTTAAAGTTGTACCATAACATTAAATGCATAAGTTTAGGTTGTACCATAAAGCAATTTGTACCATTATGTTATGGTACCACTTTACAACTTGAAGTTGTACCATCACATAAAGGTACAAGTTCAAGTTGTACATAAAAGAATTTGTACAAAAAGTATAGGTACAATCTGAAGTTGTACCATAGCGTAAATGTACAATTTTAAGTTGTACCATAAAGGCAAAACCCTATAGTACCAATACTATATAGCATTGTAAAATTTCTCATGCTATATATGGATGGAAAGGGTCAGCTACAGAATGAAACCTGTCGTTTAGGAAATGCGTGAACAAAGAGGGCTCCAAAGAGCGGTGACAAGTAGTTTTTTTTCGTCGTTGGCGTCTTTGTAGATGGCCAATTCTAAGGTGAAATATTTGTTCTCGGCAGCTTTCAGTATCCCTTCTTGCTCGTAATCCTGTCTTTCTGCAAGTTCTTTGGCTGGAATTCGGAGTAGTTGAAGCATTGCAGTATGGTCGAACTTAATCGTTTGCTTTGATGTGAAGTCTTTGCAGTTTACTAATGCCTCATACCTGTTTAGCACGATGAAGTCATTGATTTATAAAGAAGTTGAAGGATTTTTTTTTGTAGAAATTACCATGTTCCGGTGTTATTGTGCATGACTATGCCACCATGGCTGATGATATAATCTACTCGGGCCAGACACCAATATCTCATCTGTAATAAGTAGTTGGTTTAAATGAGATCCCACAATGTATTTGTATCAGACATACACAATAAAACACACACCTGTGAGTCGGTCTGGTTAGATTGTAGAAGACAGAGCAGGTCGTTGAATGTAACTGTGCCTGGTAGATTTTTCCTGAAAAGCTTGGTTGGTGTAATGGGGTTGTCTTGAAGTACTTTAATAGGTAGGTGTTCGTGGATGAAGCTGTGAATTTCGTGGAATTAATTAGAAGTGGTATAATGACTAGTGTATATGGAATTGAAATGTAGGGTGCAGAGAAAACCTTTCCATCATTGTTCTGTATCGGTGAGTGTATGAACCATAGAGCAGGCGTGTTGCAGGTGTACTCGTAAGCAGCAACCGATCTATATTGGCAAAGAAATTATTGAGAAGTGCAGTTTATTATGCATTTAAACAATCAGGGATGGTATCTTACTATCTGGTTCAGGTTCCATAATTGCTATGCTTGTAAAGGTGACCAATACTGGATGTGAGAGTTCCATGGTGTCACAGTATCGATAGAAATGGCTGGAGTTTGACGTGTAGTTGATAGTGGCACTGACATTCGTGGTTAGAGCATGGTTGATAATGTTATAAATTGCATCTTATTAGTCGTGGATAAAAATACCAACGTACAGTGGCAAACCTGGTGTTTTCTATAATTGTTGTGAAGAGAACTGAGCCATTGTCCTGCTCAAATGGTTCTAAAACGGATAGCAGCCAGCCTGTCAAATATGTAAAGGGAGAAGAATGCTCATGTAAGGAGAGGATGGGAAGATAGCTTGCAGAGAACTTATTGTTGAAGAACTACATGACAGATGAGTAGTCTCTGTGACCATGTGTGGCAGTTCTTCAAACTCCATATCTTTGAAGGCATCAATAGAGAATTCTTCCATGAACCGTATTTCATCAATTTTTGTTAGTTTCATTTCCTGTGACATATGCAGACGAATCTCACCTGGAGCAGCTAGGCCAGTTTGTTTTGCCTTAGTAAGTGTTACTGCCTCAATGTTGTATAATGTCTGCAACGAAAGATAGTTCTGCGCAATGGCAATATCTGATTGTTTTGTGGCGCCTTCGATTAAATTTTCCTGTTAACCATGCGTGACCATGAAAGGTTAGTATGTGACAGAGTTGCAAGAACCAGAAAGCTGATTTGCAAGTAATGTTTGACAATTGTGTATAAGCTCACCTCCCGGTCCATCCATAGAGTGTAGAGAAATTGAGGTCCCCTTCCTGGCATGAGTTCGTCAGATAGCCAGATGTGAACCAAACGCATGATGATGTGATGGGTTAGCGAAGGTCCATGAAGGTCTCTGATAACCGTGGATGTCATAATTGGGTCTTACAACAACAGCAAAGTTGAGTATTAATTTGTTGTGAAATTAAAGGTATATATATATATATATATATATATATATGATTCAATGGGTTTGTGAATGGGACAAACCTTCTGGATTTGACGGAAACACGTAATTTCTGGACATATTGTCAAACAAGTATGTGCAGGTGATCTGTATCGGCAAGGAAAGGGTGCAGTCTTGAAAAGGGAACTGGATCTGAGAACCGGGGAAAAAGGGAAACGAATTTAGCGATTTCGGCAAGGTCGCGTAAATCTACTGATTTGTAGTTGAAAAGTAAAGGAACGAATTTACCTGAGTAAGTTGTTACTTGAATTTTTTTCATGGGATCTGGATGAAGGAATGGTAGCGGTGCTGTATACTGCGGAATTGGGAGTAAAGGAAAGGAAGGCGACAGCTGGTTGAAGAAGGCAATATGTAAGTGTCTGGATAAATACGAATCTACGTTTGTGTCTGGGAAATCTGTGGGCCGACATGGAAGGGTCGGAAACAGTAGTTTTGGATGGCCCATAAGTAATGGGTCCATTGGTTACGGGCATATGGCTTAGGAAGAGTTTATATGGAGGGATGCTAAGCTCATCATTCGAATATTTGGAAAGGTATGGACGATCAATTGGCACGCAATCCTGTCGTATTCGTGTCAAAAGCAGTCCCACCTCCTAAGTGCGACTAAGAGTAATAAATTAGAAGAATATTTCAACATAGATGACTTCAACATCACGAAAATAATTTACAGAACGGAATTATAAAAGGTGGTGAGATTAAATGTGTCGAAGGATAGTTTGGAACCAAAAGTGCAGAACTGGAGGAAAAGGTGGCGATGTCAGGCACTGGGTTCTATTCAGCTCCGATAGTATACATAAATGGATCCCATATGGTGGTCACACGGAGCACGGGTACAAAAAATTCCCTGTCATAGTCTGGAAATATTTCAACCATTAGTATTTTTCTTTTGACAGATTCCAGACTTCCTGATTGCTTCTCACGATCAGTTGTTGTGAATAAGTCAGGTGGTTGTTGAAGGAGTGCAATTGCTGCATCATTTTCGAAGTAAATATTGTGGAGCTTGTGTTCAGTTGAGATGTCCTTGCACGCAACATTGAATATGAAATTGAACCATCACGCAATAAGTGAAGTGATTGTGCACATTTATGTAATGTGGAAAGATGTGAGAATACAGACCCATAAAAAATAGGCGAGTCTGAACAGTTATCGGGATCTGCATAGTAATATAAAGGTTTGTTTGTGTGGACATAATCAATTCTGATGAGGCACCAAGCGTGAAACTTGGAAAACAAAAAACACAGACGGTACTCAAATGAGCAAACATGTCTGTGGTACTTAAAATTGTTAAGCTAAGTTTATGAGTTTACGTCACATGGCCGAGATGAGGACTCCAGTAATGCAGTAGCCTCATAAGGGTTGTTGTGACAGGTAAGTTTCCACGAACAAAAACAGGAGTTGTTCCTGGATTGATACCAAGCTGGACAGGCCGATGAATATGCGAGAAACTAAAGCGACAGAATGACAAATTAAGAGATAGTTGTAAATTTCATGAGGAATTTGTTTTGATGACTCACGTGTCCTTGAGTTGTCGAAAACGATGTGTGTAGTGGCCTACTATGATTCGAGAACTCTGTGTGTTGGTGAAGCA